TCTAAGAATCCACTTGTGGTGATAAATGAGGACAAATCATCAAGCTAATAACTTCACATTAAATTCTCAGGAGGAAGCCTAGACCACAGCCCCCGCCAGGCTACAAAATATAAACAGACTCCCAGATGTACGGCAGAAACTCTCCATCAACCTTTTACCCAGGACGAAGTTTCTGCTGTCAGTTATGACTTGATGGTCAAACTGAAGTGGCGTCTCTGCTTGTGCAGGGCCTATGGCCATGCACTGGGGAGCAGGCGGCCTGAGGGCCTGGGCATTAGAAGCAGAAGTGCAGCATCTTGCCCTCAGCTCGTGGGAGGAAAGCCTGCATGACCTCCACGACTAGTCTGTGCCTCACCCCTCTTGACCTACTGTCACCCCAGCTTGTACCATGGCCTCTTTTGAGGGTGCCAGGGATGTTGGAGGAGGGCAGCTCCTACTTGTGTGTTCCCAGTTGGGCAGAGCTGAGCAGGGACACCCAGAGGGCGCTAGGCTATACCTGGTGTATCTGTGTCCCAATCCCAGGCCTCCTTCCCTCTACCACCAGGCCAGGGGGAGGAGAGGCCTCTTTCTTGGCCTCGATCAAAGGGTGTTGTGGTCACACCCAACGCCAGGCCACAGAAACGGTGGGCATCACGCAGCCTGTGGGGTTTTTTTATGGGAAGGGCTCTGGGCCTGCTCTTGAGGACAAGGGCAGGGAGGAAGGAGACAGCGCCAGGGCCCACTTAGCTGAACACCTGAACATGGACCTCCTTCTGCCCAGAGACAAGTAGGGAAAGCTCTGCACTGACCCGATCAGACTCCCACGGCTGGTGCGCCCCACTGCGGACAGCTGTTTGGGAGTGAGGTCTGGAGCCCCAAACACATGGGAAACTGAAGCATAACCTCCCCCAACCAGGGCGATTAAACCTGTGACCTTGGCCAGGGCTGAGGATGGAAATGACTAATATTCCAAAGAACCTTGCAGCTTTCCTCTCCTTTTTTCCCTTGCTACTTGGGTTCTCTTTGACCATTGATAGTCAGAGTGGACTTCTATCGGGGCTGGAGCAGAGGCTGAGGTCTGGGGGCAAGAGGATGAGTCCCCACCTTCTAGGGGGACTGAGGGAAGCCCAGAGATGCTGGCTGACTGTTAGGAGATGCTGGCTTCATGTCATGAGAACCACATTGGCACTGGTTCCAGCTGGGCTGCCAGCAGCCCGGCCTCCCCAGCCGTGGGCGTTAGAAGCTGATAGGAACCCAGCCATCTCCAGAGAGCCAGGAAACTAGGACACCTCCATCCCCAGAGGCCTGGAGGAAGGCTCCCGCTGCTGCCCCTTCCCTTCCTCCTTCCTTCTTCCTGCTCCTCCAGCTCCTCCAGCATCCTATCCTCGGGGAGCGGCTGCCCCATGCCCCCCACCTCTTTCAATTCCTTGTTTATTTAAAAACACTCTAAGCATCTCTGCTGAGAGGGGTGGCGTGGAGATTTTGGATATCTTTAAAACTAGATTTAAAAGAAGGAACTAGGCAGCTTGAACCTGGTGGCTTAAACAACGTGCTCTGATAATCCCATGCCCTTTGATGTTTGCTTACTCTTTGCTTAATTTAGCCTGGGCCACGTGGCCTCAAGGCCATGCCAGCCGTTGGTGGAAGGTGGTTTTCTAGTCTTTGCTGGAGCTGCCCTGCGCTGCGACCTGGTTTACAGCAGGTGGGGGCGGCACTGGGTGTGCGTGTTCTCCGGGAGCAGCAGAGGAAGCCAGGACTCTCTCTTCCCTGCCACGCTCTGCAAGGCATATCCTCCAAGTGGCTCCCCCGGCCCCTCAGAATAACGCTGAACACAGCAGAGCGCTTTATAGTTCTTAATGGACTGTTCAACTCACCCGCCTCGCTGTGATTTCTCACCCATCCCCCAACCCCATCACAGGGTAGGGCCAGCTAAATGTCCTACACATTTCCTGGTACACACACACACACACACACACACGCGCGCGCGCGCGCGCACACACAGAGTGCCCGAGGCAGTGCACATATGACAGAGCCAGCATGACACAGAGAGGTCCCTGATAGGAACTGGGGCCAGCTGCCACTCATGGAGCCTGGGACCATCTGGTTTTCCTGCCCATTTTGAGAGGCCTCCAGTGAGGCCTTTCTTCCCCGCAGGGCCCCAGCTCGGTTTACTAGATGGAAGGCCTGATTTTCACAAAGAGGCCTCTTTTGGAGTCGGCAGCTTTGGAAAGTACGTGGAGGCTGAGCAGGTTTCGGGGGGAGAGGTCAGGGCTGTTCACCAAAGAGGGAGGGAGAGCCTTTCCCTGTCGGGCCTGGGGGCATCCCCTCTGCTGACCCTGCCCTGTGCCTCCTGCCCTCATGACCCTACCTCCATCCCCATGCATGACTCAGTGGAGGGCCTCAAGGTGGCCAGTGGGCAGAGACAGGTGCAGAAGGCCTTGCTGGACCAAGACTGTGGCTGCAGCGCCTTGAGAGTAGCAGGAAACCATTTGACACGCCCTGGAGCACGGAGCCTCAGACAAGTCCCTGACCCTGACATTGCCCTCCTGCACCTCAGCTCAGCCAAGGGCGCCCCGCAGCATGCTGTGTAATGCCATGAGCTCATTCCCTGCCCTTCCATGGGTGGCAAACTGGCCCCACCCTGGTGTCCAGTTTCTTAAACACCCCAACCATGGCCCAGCTGGCTGGCCTGTCCCCTCATCACCAGAGGACCAGACACCTACTGGAAAGGCCAGGTGGTCCCCGCTCTGCCCACCTGTGTGGTCAGCAAGCAGCTGTTCAGCCAGCCGCTGTGCCAGGCTCCTGCACCAGACGCATTCAGGGCTTCGGGCTTTTGAGCGCAGAAGCTTTCACGTGGAAGAGGGCAGGGCGCAGGCCTCCCGAGACTGCTGCCCAGTCCTCCCCACCTCCCAGGTCTGCTCCAGAGCGGCGGTGCATTGTCAGCAGAGGGTTTTCCTCCTGGCTGCAGGGAGGCTTCCCTGAGCCAGTCTCTTTTGTTACCTTGGCTCTCAGCCGCGCGTCCAGAAGGACTGGCTGATGTTTGTTTTGTGCTTCTCTTCCTGACATTGGAGATGGGTTGGGGAGATGGCCCCAAACTGAATCTTGGGTTCTCATCTTGGCTTCTTAAAATCTATCAGCCTGAGAGTTTGACACCTTGATTCCAGCATCGATTGGCCAGCAACCAGCAGGGTGACCTTGGACAAGTCACATTGCTTCTCTGGGCTGCAGGGTGTTTGTGAGGGGTCCCAGGCCAGGGGCTGGCTCTTGTCCTGAGCTGCCTCTATTACACTATGTCTTTTAGACAGGACCTGGGGCCTTGGTTCCTCCTGGGAATTAACCGTTTTCCACTGATGACACGATGGGTGTGAAGTGGTACCATAGGGTATGTTTCTCCTGGTAGAAGAAATATCTCCCACATTTTGCCGTGTATAATGCGCACTTTTTTGCCCAAATTTTTGACGGAAAAATAAGAGTGCGCATCATACATGGGTAAAACCTGCAATAGCTTGTGTCTGTTTTTATGTTTTGTAACTATTTGTTACATAAAATTTCTTGTACCATAGTATGTTCAAAAATAAATGCGAAAATTCCTTTCTAATACAAAAAACAAGTATCTACATATAAAAAAATAAATAATTGAATTAAAAAAGTAAAATGAAAGATTTGTTTCCTGAAAGTTTGGGCCAAAAAACGTGGGTTCTCATTATACACAGCAAAATATGGTATAATAATAAGACCAGGACCTACGACACACCTGGCATCTTGATAAGGACTTCTGTAGCTTTAGTTTATTTAAATCTCAAAGCGCTATGAGGCTGAGGACTTCCCTCCCCATTCTTCAGGTAAGGAAATGGAGACTCAGACCATAAATGAAGTGCCTGAGGCCTGGGTGGTTGCGTGGTCTAACGCTTGATGGCCCCTCTCAGCCTAGTCTTTGATCCTTAGAGCTGGAACGTGTCTTAAAGACAGGCCTGCAGGGTCAGTTCACAAGTGGGAAACTGAGGCCGGAGAGGGGAGGAGCTGACACAGGGTCTACAGTGGCAGGACTGGTCCTGGGACCCAGCGCCCGTTGTCCTAATGTGCCCGCCGGCGCCTCCCCCGGCGATCCTCTGGCTCCAGAGCCGAGAATGCCCCCTTTGTGCCAGCCTGATTTCTGATGACACGAGGGCCTCCCTGCTCTGAAAGCCCCGATTGTCACTGTGAGCGGGGAGCTGAGCTGCCCACATTCCTGTCCCCACCCCTTCCCGCTGTGGGACCTTTTGTGAAGCCTTTTGTGCCCCGGGATCTTAGCACAACGGCTGATGACTGTTGATCCAGAAGGCCTGGTGTGACTGGAAGAGGGCCGTGTGCCAGTGCTTCCCGGTGGGGATTGTCCCAGTCTGAGCCAGGAGGTGGGCCCTGTCCTCGGGCCGGAGCCCGGCAGCGGTGGGAGGAGGCCCGTGGGGGAAGTCAGGAGACCTGATTTCCAGGCCTGGCTGGGCCCCTACCCGCCTGCTCTGTGAAGCTGGGAGAGTCGGCCCGCTCTCTCCTCAGTTTCCTTGTCTGTTACACAAGCGGTTGGATAGTAGAGAAGAGTCGAGAGGAGGTCTAGAGGGCAAAGAGAAGATCCGGCTCAGGCTTGTCTTTAGGCAACCGAAGGAACACCAGGCTGGGAACCCTGGCCGCTGTGTGCCAGCCTCATGGCGCTTGGAGCTGTGCCTCCCAGGCGGGGCCCCACCCTCTCAGGGCCTGGGCTGGTTTAATCGGTAAAGGAAAAGGGCTGAATCACTCTTGCTTAGACATGACACAGAGACCCAGGCATCAGATGGGCATTAGAGGCACAGAGAAAGTGTGTGGGCAGGGAGGTTGTGAGTATTCAGGGTGGGAATGGTGCTCCGTGCCCGGAGGGGGTGCTCTGTGCGGGCAGGGGCGGGGGTTACTTGGGCAGTCGGGCACTCTGTTCCAACTGGAACTTATGGGAAATCTTGGGTTGAATTCTGGGGTGTGTATGGTCTTCTTTTGTAATTTCTCTGTCTAAACAGACCATTGACTTTCTGAATGACAACATTCGAAGAGGAATCAAGAACTACTATGATGATCTGGACTTCAAGAACATCATGGACTTTGTTCAGAAGGAGGTGAGCCGGGCTTTTTGGGTCAGAGATGTGCCTCCCGTGCCCTTTGCTCCCCACTTGGGACCCTGCTCCAGAAGGTGAGGGGGAGGGTTACACGGCTTACACATTCCCAAAGCAAGGCCGAGCTGGGAGGCAAGGGTGGGCCATGGATGGCCACCGAGGGCGGGGCTTGGCCTTCGCAACCCGTCCTCCACATGCCTGGTCCAGAGTGTCCTTGCCCTGCCTGTCCCTTTTCAGTCACATGGGTCCTCCCCCTCAAACAAAAAGAACAAGGTCAAATGCAGCTACAAGCCACCCCACAGGGTCTCAGGGGGCCCCTCTCCAATGGGTAAAGATCATCCTTCCTTGAGATGGGAGTGACCTCTAAGCCACCCAGTTCAGAAGTCCCTTCAGCCAAGTCCCTTCAGTGGTGGGGAGCTCACTCCCTGCAAGTCAGGGACAGCCCCAGTGTGAACAGAGCTCTTCCCTGATTCTGTTTCCCCTGGCGTCGGGGAACGGAACAAGGCTTCTCCTTTCCCTCTATGCCCTTCTTTGAATGCGATGATGTCATTCTGAAATGCTGTCCCTTTCCCCCAAGGTCCACCCAAGTCTGTCAGTGCAATAATAGCAGTTGTAGAGCCAGCCGCTGTCCCGCTTGGCTTATACATACCAATCACATTCAGTCCCAGTCCTTAGGTTCCTCATCTGTGTCAGGGGGCTACTAATGGTCCCTTCCTCTTGGCGTCATTGTGACTCTCCCTTGACTTAATTTGGAAGTGCTTAGAACAGCGCTAGGCATGTGGTAAGACGTCAATCAGCACGTGTCCGCTGCAGTGATCATCATCCTCATGTTCTCCTAGGTGAGGACAAGCAGAGCCTAAGGGCTGTGAGCCTTCTCAGCCCTGGCGGCACTTCCGGGGACATGATCTTGGGGGCTTCATCCCCCATGATGGCCGGATCCCCTGTGATATCCATCAGTGGGACCAACATATCACTGCACCCAAGGCCATTCGCAGTGGCCACTCCCTTGGCTCAGGTTTTGCTGTAGTCACAACAGGTGCAGCCTCTGGGAGGCCCTTCTCTGCCAGGGACGTGGCCGCCAGCTCTGGCGGTTGGGTGGAGTGAGATGTTTTTATTGGAATCAGCCCTCAACTGGTCTGAGGATTCTATTTCTTCTGGGGTGGGTTGGGGGAGTGACTCAAGCTCTTTGGCCACTGCTTGGTGCCAGGCCCTGTGCTGGGCACATCATGCATGGTCTCTCTCTGTAATCCTCAGCTCAGCTGGGCACAGCTGGGGTTCCTCATCCTGCGTTACAGAGGAGGATCTGAGGCTCAGAGAGGCTGATCAACTTGCCTGAAGTCACACAGCTAGGAGTGGTGGTGTGAGGATTTGAACTCTGTCCTTTCAAACTGCAAAGCACATGCCCTTTGCGCTGTGCCACAGAGAGGCATTTTCAGTTCCTAAAACCTAATATCCTAAAGGGCTCTGTGGGGACAGTGAAAAGTTGTCGGGTTTCTGTTTCTACCAGGACCTCCAACCATATCACTCCCCTAGTGAAACCCTCCAGTGACCTCCCGTTACTCAGAATACAATCCCGGCTCCCTCCTATTCTGGCTCACAAGGCTGTGTAAGTCTGGCCCGCGCCGCCCTCTCAACCTCATCCCTTCCTCTTTCCTTGCTGTGCTCTGCACATGCTCGCCTCTGCTGCCGAGATACACCTTGCTCATTTCTGCACAGGATCTTTGCACAGGTGGATTTTTTCCTGTTGTTCCCATGTCAGATTAAATGGCATCTCCTCAGGCCTTTCCTGACCTCCTAACCTAAAGCTGCCCCTTGCTTCCTTCCCCTGTGTTTTCACACTCCGGGAACACAGCACTACCTCCCTGATCTTTTCGTGGCGTGCTACGCTCGGTCTCCCTCCACCGGATGTCCCACGTGGGCAGGGGCCGCGCTGCTTTGCTCAGCCTGTCTCTCCAGTGCACAGAGCGGTGCCTGGACACACTGCGCCCCGGGAGAATAACTGCCCTCCCCAGGTGTTGGCACCACTACGCGAGGAGGAGCTAACATAAGGGGGAAACAACACCGGTCTCACCATCGCTCCAGTCCTGAGCCCAGGGCAGGATGGAAGGGGCGTGTGCCCGCTGCTAAGGCAGCGCTGAGGCCAGTGAGGAGCAGGTCAGTGTGGTGCAGGGGCCGCGGGGTTGTTGTGGCTGCAACAGAATCCTAGTCTCTGGGACCTTAAAGGCCAACTTTTCTGGTCTGGTACCTGCACTGGGACATGATGACAGGATCCATTTGTCAAGGGAGGACTTTGTCATGCAGCGTTCAGTCATTACTGCGATATCCCATGAAGAGACTTCTCAGCCTTGGCTTGCATGCCTTCCTAGTGACAGGGAGCTCACTACCTCTTGGGCAGCCATGCTGCCCGTTCAGTGCTTTGACCTGACATCGTCTGCCTCAGGCTCTCCTGATAGCCCCCAGTACCCGGGTGGCCACATCATGAATTGCATCGTCTCTTGCCAGGACCCCCTCCTGCTGTCTGCCCGCAGCCTCGGCGGTGACAGCAGCTCCCTTCTCTGCTTGCTTCCTCTCTCAGTTCAAGTGCTGTGGCGGGGAAGACTACCAAGATTGGAGCAAAAACCAGTATCACGACTGCGGCGCCCCCGGACCCCTGGCCTGCGGGGTGCCCTATACCTGCTGCATCAGAAACACGGTATTCCCTGCCCCTGGGGCCACCCCAGCTGGTCAAGCGCCTCTCTCACCTTTCAGTGCAGGGGTGGGGTGGGTGGGGGGTGGGGTAGGCAGCAGGTGGTGGTCGTTGTCCAGGGTTCCTGGCCCCCAGAGCTACTAGAAGGGGTATACCTGGGGGCGGGGGCTTCCCTGTATTAGAAGTGGTAGTTCGCATCTATTAAGCGCTCACCATGTGCAGGCCTCTTCTAGGTTCTTTAGTTGTACTAACTTGTTTAATCCTTTCAGCTACCCTGTGAGGCAGGTACTATTATTTTGCCCACTCTACCGATGAGGAAACTGAGGGACCAAAAGGCTAGGTGCCTTGCCCAGGCTGATAGGGCTGGGATGAAACGCAGGCAGCCATCGCGAGAGCTGTGCTCTGATGGCTGGACATGCCAGGCAGGGAACGGCAGAGCGTTCCAGGCCGGGCCGGCTTAGCAGGGCTGGCCAGCTCTGCAGCCTTGGCCGGAGGGCCAGAGCAGGGCCTGCGCTTTGGGCATCTCTAGGGACTTTGGGCCGGAGGGCCTGGTGATCATCAGTAACGAGGCACTTGGAAGGGGATCCAATGATGTAAATGCCAGCAGGGCCCTGTCAACTCTCTCATCCCTTCAGCTACTTGGGAGGCTGCCCGGTGTAGTCACCGAATGAGAGAGGCTTCGTCAATCTTCTATGTTTGACTAATGTGTTCGAAAACTGTCTGGTTTCTGGACTGGAATGAAGCAGAGAGCTTTGCACTTACTCATGCTCTAGGGAGTCATGGAAAATTTCCCTTCTGACGTCTCCATCCTTCTGTGCCCACTGCCAGTTTCTGTAAACTGAGCAGCTGCTGATGGGGGTGGGGCCTCACCCATGAGTCAGGGAGCCCGTGACAAATGCACAAGCCCTAAAAAAGGCCAGCCCAGGAGCGGAGGCTTGTTTGGAAATTTTAGCTGCCATTTTAGGGTAGCCCTCCGGGCAGGGGGAGTGCTGGGAAGGAGCCCGGGGTTTTCAGAGACACCTGTGGGAGGTGATCCTGGACTTCTCTGCCCAGGGCAGTGGCCGCTGAATGTCCAAGCTGAGATGTGGAAGCCTGACTTGTATTCATTCATTCATTCAACAAATATTTATTGAGGACCTACTCTTTGCCAGATGTGGTTCTAGGGTCTGGGGGTGCAGCAAGCATGCGCAGAAAGGCGCATTCCCCGCATGGAGCTGATGTCCTTGTGGGGAAAACTGACAAACTAATAAGTAAAGGAGGATGTTAGAGGATGATAAATACTAAGGATAAAAATAAGGCGAGGACACGGAGGATTGCAATTTTACATGTTGAGAAGGTGGGTTCTCCAGAAAACTCTGAAGGAAGTGAGGGAGTAAGCTGTGCATATCTGGGGGAGGGGCCTTCCTGGCAGGGAGACCTGCAAATGCAAAGACCCTGAGGTGGGAATAGCCCTACTGTGTTTGAGAGACAGCACAGAGTCAGTGTGGCTGTAGCAGAGCGAGGGTAGTAGCAAATGGAGTCAGAGAAGTTATGAGTGCCCTGAAGGCTACGATCAGAACTTAGACGTTCCCATGAGTGACAGGGAGTCAAGGGTTTCAGTGGCTAAGTGGCAGATAAGACCTGGGCTTTACCAGGCTCACTTGGCTCCTGAGAGGCAGAGGAGGATGCGGGGCGTCTGGTTACGGGCTAATGCAGCCGTCCAGGTGTCACAAGCCAGGCTGCCTGGGAAGCCGGCTCTGAGATTCAGGTAAGTGAGCAGGAGGCTTAGTAGGAGGTACTCCCAGGATCAACACCTGCAAGGGATGTGATAGGAGCAGAGTTGGGCAGGGGGAGAAGTTGAGCAATGGTGCAGTCTCAGTAGGAACCTCAGCTGCATGTATGTGGATGATCCCCTGGTGTTGTCTCATGCTGGGACAAAGAGGCCAAGCCTGCACACCCCACATTCACCAGCATTGAATGAGTATACTGTCCCACCTGGGAGGGGACTTGCTGGCTTTGTTCAGCAGAGGAAGAGAATCCATAAGATGTATGTCTCGTGTGTGTGCGCGCGCGCGCACGTGTAAAGACATTATCGTAAGAAACTGGCTTACAGAATTATGGAGGCGGGCAAGTCCCAAGACTGCAAGACTGCAAGGTGAATCAGCAAGCTGGAGACTCAGGAGAGCCAGGGCTTCCATGCCAGTCCGAGTCCGAAGGCCTGAGACCCAGGAGAGCTGGTGGTTTGGTGCCTCTTGAGGTCTGGCTGGCTGGAGATCCAGGGAGCGCTGGTGTTTCCGTTCAGACCTGAAGACAGTCTGCCAGGAAGACTTCGCTGTTACTTGGAGGAAGGGCAGCTTTTTTGTTCTGTTCAGGCCTTTAACTGATTGGATGAGACCTGCCCATTTTAGGGAGGGCAATCTGCTTTCCTCAGTCTACTGATTTAACTGTTCACCTCATTGAAAAACACCCTTGTGGTAACACCCAGAATGTTTGGCTGAGTATCTGGGTACCCCAAACCTCGGTCAAGTTGACACATAGAATTAACCATGCGTGACAATCACCGGTGGGGACAGGGAGCTGACAGCTAAGGGCTGCTGCCACAGCAGCTGCAGGGGCCTGGACAGCTCCTTACAGCATCCGCCACACCAGGCAGGAGAAGGTGAAGGCTCAGAGGCAGGTGGCTGTCATGGAGGTGGCAAAACATGGTCTGCTTCTGGCTGGTTTTAGCAAGTAAGCCAACAGGGTTTGTTGACGGAGCAGGGGTGGGAGGCAGGTGAAAGAGGAAACTGAGGAGAACACCCAGAGTTTAGCCTGAGCTGCAGGAGAAGTGGGGCCACTGTTACTTGAGGTGGAGGGGCTGCGTGGACAAAGGTGGGGGGCACAAGGAGCTCAGCGTGGACATGTAGGATTTGAGAGCCTGTGTGACATGCCAGCAGAGTGTCAAAGAGGTAGTTAGATGAGTCTGGAGTTTGAGGGAGAGGTCCAGGCTGGGCGTGTAAACACAGATGCCCTCCACAGAGAAAGGGAATCTTAAGCTGACCTCTGCATGGGAACCCCCGGTGGGGAGGCGACCGGCCCGGGCTGGGTTATATCTGGTTCTGTGTGACAAGACTGTTGTTCTCCCTGTGTTTCCCACACTTGCATGGTTTTCTCTAAATGTAGAAGGAGGTATTTCCTTCCTGGATAGGGAAGGGAAATAGAGAGAATAAAAAACTAAACTTAAATCAGCATCATGGAAAATATATTCTAAAATAGGAGAGCCAGATGATGGAGAAAATATAAACTACTGATCCATAGGCCTAAAGGGCTTATGGAATCACTGGAAAGGAGCCATGTGTTCCGTGGCTTAGAGCTTCCTGGAAGCCAAAGGGAAGAAGGGAGAAGTGGTCTGTTTCATCGCCAATGTTTGGGACGAGGGAACGTGCCAGTTCTTCAGGGAAAGTCTCTTTCCCCCGCTAGCCCTCAGCCTTAAAAGAAATGTCTGGACTTCCTGTAGAGGATTTGGGTAGAACTTCTCCCTCCCTGAGTAAGAGAGGATTCTTCCTGCCTGTCTTCGGACTTGAACCGAAGCATCAGCTCTTCCTGGATCTCGAGCCTGCTAAGCTTTGGACAGGAACTATGCCATCAGCTCTCCTGATTCTCTATAGAGGGTTTGGAGCAACAGAACTGTATTTTGGCTTCTACAGTTCTTGTAAAATTGGGTTATACTAAGGATGTCCCTCAAGACCCATGGGTATAAAGGGCAGCTTGCTCCTATATTGAATAGCTTCAGACTGCTGTGTCTTTGTGTCCAGCTTTTATCGATATTCACTCCTTTTTGTTGGCTCCCCTTTGGGGGCCTGTCCCGGAAGCTCCCTCTCCCCTTTTCTTAGCTGTCCAGACCCCAGATAAGCATTCCAGGTATCAGCCCGTTAGTCCCGGGTCAGGATGAGAGGACGCACATGTGAACCTTGCTGTATTGATCTTTTGGCTGCTCAGGAGTCCCCTTTCTGGTGCCCGGCCATGTGGCACTGTGCCAGGTGAAAGAGGCCTCTGCACATCTTATCTCGGGGCCCTGGGCCTTCAGTGGAGCCCCCGCAGGACATTGATCCTGTGGTCACAGCCAGGCAGGCTCTACATTTGGGGAGATCACAGCTGCGTCATATCCCCTTCCTTGGAGGGGAGCTCTCCTGGAAGGGGAAGCGAGTCCCCCCGGGGTCGGGGCTGGGGCTGACCTCTAGGTGTCGGGGAGGCCTCCTGCCAGCCGCACGTCTCCTCTCTGAGGACAGGGGCTGTGGCCCCTCTGCCAGGAGCCTCCGTGAGGAGTGAAATTGCTCTTCTCACCTTCTTACATAACATATGGTTTGCTTATTTATTATGTTCATTATCTGTCTCCCTTTCTAGAATAAAAGTTCCATGAAGACAAGGACTTTGTTTTGATCTTCTGTATTCCAAATACCTAGAACAGTTAGTGGCACATAATCGGTGTTCAGCCAATATTTGTTCAATGAATGCCTGAGTGAACGAACAAACGAGGTAGAAAGCACCCGCTCCCATCATGCCTTCATGGACCTGCTCCTGGCCTGACCCTTCCCATAGAGGTCATGTTCATGGCCTAGAGGGGCCAGAAATGCTAAGTTGATGCTGGGCCGTGCTGGGTCTGAGGGCATGTGGGGGCAGTCAAGACTGAGGGAAGTTATTTTGCTCACACACCAGGCCCTGACATTTAGACTGATCTGGATGATGTCTGAGATCCAACCCGCTCTTTTGGGAGAAGAGTAGATGTCCTTCCTTGCCTTTCTAGAAGCTGAACCCATAAACAAAGTCACTGCAGCCAGCACTCCTGTGCTCCTCTGTGTGTGGCCCTGGGATGAGCATTTTCTGTGGGTACCTGGCCTTCTGTTCAAAACAGCCCTGTGAGGTGGGTTCACTGATCGCCATTGCTTATGGAAGAGACCAAGGAGCTCACCCATTCATTCATTCATTCATTCGACAAATACTTATCAAGCACCTCATGTGCCAGCCCCTCAGAAGCACCTAAGGCTGGTCACAGAGCTCATAAGCGACAGAGCTCATTGAGTGATAGAGTTGGACCTGGACCAGGCAAGATGATGCCAGAGGCCACACTGCCTCTTGGCTGCTCTCCTGCATCACTGCTGGCGCCCTGCCCCCACAGCGGTTTTCACTTAGATGTGGAGGGGCGCGACCAGGGCATCTGGCTTTCTCTCGCCTGATAGGAGGAGGAGACCTCACAGGGCCACAGGCATGATGGGAAGTCCCCCTGCCAGCCCCGTGACTTACAGTTGCTGGGAAGGGATTGGATGGGGTCTAGGACTGACCCAGATTGGTCAGCATCTGGAAGTTTTTGAGAGCAACTCTCATCCTGGAAAGGAACTGGGGAGGCACTTCCTTTCACTGGCATGTGGCTGTTGGCCGGGGCAGGGAAGTGTGGTCAGGGGTCCTGGCCTCGCCCTCAAATAAACCACCGCTGGCCAGGCCCTGGCTGCAGTCTGAGGTTTTTCTTTAGGAGAGCCAGTGGGGCAGGAGAAGCCCAGCCTGACCTCTGAGACGGCATGTCACCACGCCAGCAGGGCTGTGCCTCTGGCAGGGCCGCGGTGGGGGAGCCCGGGGCGACCTGCTTTTCTCTGTGTTCTAGTCTGCTGTGGGTCACTGGTTGAGGAGTGGTTCCCACCCAAGTGCCACAGAACTAGCCCTCCCACCTTTCGTCCCGGGGGCATTCCTTGGAGGTGGGATGTTAAGATGCAGACTTGAGCCTGACTGCCTGGGCGGGAATGTCAGCGCCAACCTTACTGGACAGTGCAACTCTGAGTGCCAGGTCTTTTGTCCCTAGAATGGGGAGAATAGTATGAATAGCATCTTTGACAGTAAGTACCATGTAAATGTTAGCTAACACACCTTTCTGTTTCAGACGAGCGTTGTCAACACCATGTGTGGCTACAAAACTATTGACAAGGAGGTAACGTCTTTGAAATCACCAGAACGGTTGCTTTTCCTGCCCTGTCCTGAGTGGTTGGAGGGTTTCTAGAGGTGGGGCTCCTGGCTGCTTAGATTTTCCAATATTCCTGCCTTTGAACAGTACCCAGGTACTGCTGGAGTTTTCAACTCCTACCCAGACACAGAGGGGCTCAGGGAGCCAAAAACCCCCCCAGGCTGGGAGGGGTGGCCTGCTGTGGGCTCATCTGCGAGGCACGCTTGTTTGCAGCCCCTGCCCTTGGGGCCGCCCCTGCCCTTGGGGCCGCCAGTTTGCAGGTGGCTCATACCAGCTCTCTCAGCCTGGGACCCAGGAGCCCCTCGGGGACAGAGATCCCAGAGATCCCTCTTGGGGATCCCTCCTGGGTCAGCTTCCTGAGCAACTCCCCTGGACTAGGAGAGAAGCTGGCTTAGTGCTGAGAAGGGAGCTAAAAGAGTGATTTGAGATACCTCTGAATAGTGGTTCTCAAAGTGAGGTCCCAGACTGAGCAGCAAGAGCACTCCTCTGGGAACTTGTTAGAAATGCACATTCTTGGGGCCCAGAAGGTGATTTTGATACACCTTCAGGTTGGAGAGCTATAGACCAGCAGTGGCTCTCAAGCCTTCAGACCTAATGGCCAATTTGTAATAAACTCTTGGTAATGCCCTAGTGATTATTCTGAAATGAAATTTACAGATCATATAACCTATCCACACATCTAATTTCAAAACAAGTAACAATGATCTAACTGAGATGGAAGGAGAAATAAAAACAGTTTATGACCATAAAACGTATTTCAACAGGTAAGGGCTCAGGCATGAGAGAGATGCAGCGAGAGACCCCGTTCAGGCGTTCGCGCCACAGGCGCAGCTGCCGCCTGCAGGGCGGGGCGTGTTGTGTTGGCAACTTGCACACCATGAGCATTATTTTTGCAGTGGAGATATATATATATATATATATATATATATATATATATATATATATATATATATATTTTAATGGTGAACAATTCTCGATAAAGTTCTGAACAAATTAAAGTATAATTGTTCCTTAATTTATACATAGTAGTATTTCTGCAAAATTCAGTGTGTAGTAAAACCACATGGGAAACGCTGGTTTTTGTATGTACCTGGAGTTAGGCTTTCGGCTCAGGTCATTAAGAACGGGTCTTCGCCCACATGAACGCCTGGGGAACGCCCGAGAGGCAGGCAGAGAAGTTGTTGGTGAAGTAGGATTACCCTTAGCTCTGCAGTCCCTCAGTCCCCAACTCTATTCGCTGTGACAACCAGAAATGCCACCACCATGTTCCCAGGGTTATAGGGAACACTAACCTCACTACTGAACCCCATTGCATGTGAGAAGCTGAGGTTCAGGGGGGTTGAGGGACTTGCCGAGACCACAAATGAGTGGCAGAGATGGGACTGGGCCCTGCCAGATGAGGCGCTCAGCCAGGTCCTTGCTGTGCAGCGCCTCAGCGTGCAGAACGTCATCTACGTGCGGGGCTGCACCAACGCTGTGCTCATCTGGTTCATGGACAACTACACGATCATGGCGGGTCTCCTGCTGGGCATCCTGTTCCCCCAGGTGGGCTGGTCCCCATGCCACTCAGGGGTGGTGGGCGGGCTGTGGGTTCTGATAAAGGGTGGCTGGTGATTACAGAGCACAGGAGCTACCAAGGGGTGGGTGAAGAAGGCTCTTGTACCAGCAATCTGGGCTCCTTCTGGGAGGGCTAAAAGGAGAGGGAGAAGGGCAATAGCATGGTTTATAGAGCTCTTCGGAGTGCTTCACGGGTACTGCCTCCTCCAGTTCTGCAAGGTATGTGCTATTATCATGCCCACCTTACAGAGAAGGGAACTGAGGCTTGGCAAGGTAAGTGACCTGCCCAAGGTCCTCCAGATGGCGAGTGTTGTAGCTGGGGTGGAGACAGGAGTCCCCCGAAGGAGAAACCTGCTGAGAAGGAGCAGGGAAGGTCTCTGGGATTACCTGGGAGGGCAGCGGAGGGCCCAGGGAGGGGCCACGTGGGCAGTGGGGATGCTGGGAGAAGGCTGTGCGCTCGGGGTTTCCCAGGCCACCAGTGCCTTGAGTGCTCATGACTGGCTGCAAGGGTTTCTGGGAACTGGGGACTGCCAAAGAGGGCCACCCAGCTCTCCAGCAGGACCTCATCCATCCTGCCCCTTCTTCTCAGTTCCTGGGAGTGCTGCTGACGGTCCTGTACATCACCCGGGTAGAAGACTGCATTGAGGAACAACGGGCCACTGTCACCGATGGGCTCCTGAGGTCTGCTGCCAAGCCCAGTGCAGAAGGGGCAAGCACGGGATGCTGCATGTGCTACCCCGTTTAGGGCCTGTCCAAGGCAGCGGCTTCAGCAGGGCCATGCCAGAGTAGCACCACATCGTGGGGGCTGGATGGGACAATGGCCCTTCTCCCCACAGCTGGCACGGACCAAAGCCCAGGGTGTGCGTGCTCTGGTAGCCGGCTCAGGCCTTCCATGGTCACTGCCTCCCTGGGGGATAGAGCCTGGGCCCCCCAGCTCCGGGTTCTGGGTCTGCTCACACTGCTGGGCCTGGGGAACAAGGGTAGCCCTTGCCCAGGCCTGGGCCTCTGCTGAGCAGGGAGCTCAGCGCTCAGCTCAGGGCTGCTTCATTTCCGGCAGTGCCTTCTTGGCCTTTGATGTTTATGCCCCTCCAGGGGCGTGGTTTTAGTGATTTGTAAGTGGGGAGAGAAGAGAGCAGGTGTGCTCTGTGGTGAAGGAGGGGAGGGGGCAGACCCCACACCCCTGGCCCCTCAGCCATGCCCCAGGGGCCGGGGTGGGCCCGTTTCTCAGCCTCCATGTGCCTTGAGCCCTCCCCAAGGGCTGCTGCTTTGCTGACCCTGTTTTTTACATGATTTTGTAAGATTCATTTTGTACACAGTTAACAAGAGTTTCTGACTAATCAAAGCTGGGTTTTCCCATGCTCTCTGCTCTTGCCCCTCCAAGCCAGTTTATTAATCAAACAATAAAGACTTGATTTTTTTTTTTTTTTTTGGTCTTTCATTTGTGCTGTTTGGGTGGGGAGGGGGTAGGGAAGGCCTGAATGTGGATTTGGCAGCTCCTTGTTGGTGCAGGATTAAAGGGGTCCACCGAGGGGCCAAGGTTTGGGATGATTTGGGACACTTTGGGACACCAAGGCCTGGGAGGATCCGCAGCTGGCCGGCGCTGCCTGCTCCCGGGCTGGAATGGCCTCTCCCATTCTTTGCCGTTGCCACTTAAGGAAATAGCTTTTCCCGGCTGTGCTTGTCGGCTGGGCCTGGAGCCTGCCCTTTCGGCTAGGAATTTACTTGTGGGAAACCTCAGGGGAGGAGGCAGAGATGACTACCTACCTCACAGACTGGGAAACTGAGGCCAAGTCACCTATGGCATGAAGCTCCTCCTCTGGAAAGCGGGACAGATGGGAACTAGGAAAGTCAGGGGTCCGGGAAGGAGCAGTGCCCACAGGTCGCCCCGGTGGCTTTAGAGCCAGTGTGACCCTCAGTCCTTCAGTAAGCAGTTTATTGTTCCCAGGGATCGGGGTGGGGTGGAAGCTGGTGAATGCCAAGCAAAGCTCGGTGTTGATCGCCCCCTGCTGGAGGCAGCAGAACCTATGTGGATCAGTCTGACCCCGCTTTCCTGTCCCAAGACTTAAATTCTAGATTTTCTAAGAGGTTCTTAGTAGCCAGGGCAATAGATATAAAACAGCAACAGACGAACTTAATCTAAGGGTATATATCTTGTATTAAGGGAACTGCCCATCACACCCAGGAGTTAAGTGGTTGGATGCTTGGTCTTCCAGGTGTAAAAGCCTGAGCTGTCGGATGTGTAGGAAAGGGCAGGGGAGGGATTTTCAAAAGGGTAGAATGTGACAGTAGCAAGCACAGCCGCGAGCAGACTTTGTGTCTAGATTTGTACTTGTCTAAAAATCTTACGGATATTATTTCCTTTAATTCTCACAACTGTATGTGGTAATTCTTGTTTATTTTACTGATGGAGAAACTGAGGCACAGAGCAGTTAAGTAACCTGCCCAAGGCACACGGCTGGTAACTGACAAAGCCATGACATGAGCCCATGAGTCTCATGGGCACTCTGCCCCGTCCTCTGCTGGCTCTGTTGCCTCACGTGGACACATGGTATGAGGTGTGCAAAACCACGACGGCTGCAGCCAATGCTGGACCCTCTGCCAGACCCTCTGCCTGGTCCCCATTTTGACCCCTGGACAAGAGGCCAGGTCGAACTCTGTCATGGCTCCCAGGCTCCAGCTCTGTGCTCAGAGGGGTAGGCAGCTGCCTTTGGGGCAGCAAGATGCAGGGGCACTGAGCGGGTTTGGACTGCACTGAGGCTACTCATCCAAAGTCACTTGACCCTGGAAACCTGGAAACCTCTGGTCACCTTGTCCTCCCTCTTTGCACTGCCACTCACAGACACCCCTAACCTCACATGCTGCTTACGTGGGCCGGCGATCACAGGTCGGTGCCTCCGATGGCTGAGCTCCGGTGGACATTTTTATTTTTGTTCAAACCTCAACCATGCACTTCTCCAGAAAGCAAACAGAGCACGTGGAGAGGACTTTTTCGGTCCTGTGGTTGGGATGCCTCTCCTATTGCACACTTTTGTGCTTAAAAGCCAACAACATCATCTTGACCTGCTGCCTCACGGGGATGGAAAAGTGACTCAAAATCAGGCCTTTCCCCACAATATCAGGGCAGCCCACAATATTTGTGAAACCAGAGGTGGTTTGTGGGCTTCGATTTTGGATGTGTTTGTTATATAATTACAAGAACAACAGAACAATAAAATGCATTAAGGAAGACTGGCTTTGTATAAAAATTCCTAACACAATAGTCCCCAAACATTTTTAACAGTTTATTGAAGTATATTTAACATAAATTTACTTAACATAAAGCATAGATTTAAAGTGACAAATGTTAAATACATCATTAATAAAACCATCACCACAGTCAAGATAATGAACATATTCATCATCCTAAAAAATTTCTTCTTGTCCTTTAGTAATTCTTTCTTTATAGCTCTCCCTACCAATCCTCTGCCCCATTCTCAAAAAAACATGAATCTGCTTTCTGTTTCTTTAAATTACTTTGTAGTTTCTAAAATTTTAAACAGTATATACTCTTCATTTGTTTGGGTTCTTTTACTTAACATAAATATTTTGAGATTCATTTATTTTGTAGCATATACCAGCAGTCCATTCTTTTTTATTTCTGAGTAGTATTCAACTGTATGCATGTACCATAGTTTATTTATCCATTCACTTATTGATGAATATTTGTATTGTTTTTATTTCTTATTGTTATTACAAATAAAGCTGCTGTGAACAGTCATGTATGTGTCTTTACACAGAAATATACTGTTGACCCTTGAATAACACGTAAGTTAGGGGTACCAACCCCCAGGCAGCCAAATACCCGAAAATAACTTTGATGCCCCTCCCCCTAAACTTAACTATAGTTGGTCTTTACATCTGCAGATTCAAACAACTGAGGATCTAAAGCAGTATTTTTGTTTTGCGATTGGGAATCCGTGTTTGGGAATCAGCAGTTGGGAATGCAAAATTACTGTTTTCAATCCGCTTTGGTTGAATCTGCGGATGCAAAACCCATGGATACATAGTGTCGGCTGTATTTATTGAAAAAAAATCCGTGTGTAAGTGGAGCTACACAGTTCAAACCCATGTCACTCAAGGGTCAACTGTACCTTCATTTCCCTTGAGCAGGTATCTCAGAGTGGAAAACTGGATCATATGGTAGGTGCATGTCTTTTTAAGAAACTGCCAGGGCATAAGTGGTTGCATGACTTTCTCTCCTCTGCATTCTTGCCAGTATTTGGTATGGTCGGTCTTTTTAATTTTGTGTGGTAATATTTCATTGTGGTTTTACTTTGCATTTTCTTAATACAGTGGAACCTCGGTTCTCAAACTTAATTTGTTCCGGAAGGTTGTTTGAAAACCAAATCATATTCGTATTCACGTATTCTGTCCCTCGTGCGTCGCCTGAGAGATGTGTGACTGGTTACACAGGTATCAGCATGAAAAGGTTATCTGGTCGAGAACTGAAGTTTTGTTCAACAAGGGAGACAATTTTTCTCCATGAACAACATGGTCAAGGACCGAATTGTAGACGGCAGACGCTGGAGAACCAAGGTTTGACTGTAATCAGTCATGTTACACATCTTTAATGAGTGGATTTGCCATTCACATAATTTCTTTGGTGAAGCAGCTGTTCAAATCTTTTTTTTTTTTTAATTGTGTTGTTTGTTTTCTTATTATTGAGTTTTGAGAATTCTTCACATGATCTCTCTCTCTCTATATATATATACAAGTCCTTTATCAAATATACAATTTGCAAACATTCTCTCCCAGTCTGTGGCTTGTCTTTCCATTCTCTTAACAATGTTTTTTAAAAAGCAGACGTTTTAGCTTGATGACGTTTTAGCCCAGGGCTCATCTCTTCACCTGTAATGGCCCAGAAGGCCTGTGCTATAGAAAAGGGAACCGGGATTAGAAGGGTTAAGGACTGTGCTTAGGAGCCCATCTAGGAAGTGATACAGTCAGGATTTGAACCCAAGTCTGACTCCAAGGCCCTCGCTCCTCTGCGTTGTGCTGGCCTAGCATTTGAGGACTTATCTACCACCCCAGCTTCGCCCCAGCCCCTCGCAGCAGTCAGCAGTTCCCTGGACGTGCCCAGTTCATTCCCAGCTCACGGGGCTCTACCCATCATCTCACCAGAAAGATCCATCTCTACTCTTTCACCTTCCTCCTGCCCCATTTTCTCCAAGTCTCATGTCAGTTCTGTGTGTGGAGGGACTTATTTTATAATCACCCACTTTGTAGATGAGGAAAATTGAGGCCAGACTAGTTTAATAAGTTGTATGCCAAGAGGCTCTGCTAGCAACCCCAGAGGCTGGCTCCTTCCAAGCCCCTGCCCTGGCTACCACCCTCCTGGGGCCTGGGAAGTGCCCAGAACTATTATGGGGCTTCTCTGTGGGGCACAGGGTCCTGGCTCCCCACAGTCTGTGAGGCTGGAAGGGAGCCTGATTTTCAGTCCTTGCAGCCCAGGAAGTCCCAAGTCCTGGCTTTGCCGAATTCTTCCACTAGGTGGCGCTGCTGGCCTGCTGCTTGGAGTCCAGCACTCAAACTCCACCCTTTGCACCTCCCAGAACCTGGGCCTTCGCTGAGGCGGCAGCTTGAGCGTGCCTCCTCCAACCCCTCCCTGCCCCCGACACACACCTACTCCAAAATAGTGAGCCACAAGGTAGGGGAGTCTAAGATACTATACGTACCTGCGAATAGTAGGTGCTCAATAAATAATCGTAAAATGAATGACTATTCGAAGAAGTTGGCATAAATGAGACTTCTCCATCCCTATTTTATAGCCTAGGAAACTGAGGCCAAATACAATAGTAATAAGTTACTGTTATCAGCTATGGTAGGTTACTATGTGCTGGGGGCTACTGAGCTCCGCTCTTGCTATTCTTCATCCTATTCAGTCACAGTGATGAGGCAGACGCTTTAGCAGTCCTGTTTTGCAGGTGAGAACACTGGGATTTAGAGAGGCCAGTTAGTAGTGGGATAAAGGGAAGGAGCAGGATGTGAAGCCCTCTGCCTGCATCTGATCAGGATCACCTGTTGGTTTAGTGTCTTCTCCATGGCCCACCCCAAAGAGAACCCCAGGTGAAGCCCCCCCAACCCCGCTCAGCCTGCACAGCCTCAGCCCCCGGCATCATGTGACCACCGGAAGGAGGCCTAGGTCTTGAGACAGCCGTGAACGAGCCAGAATGAGGCTGGAAGGGTGGCAGGTACTTAAATGCCAGAAGGAGCAGTGCGGGCTCCTGGGCTCTAGAGGGCAGTCTCCTCCTTTGCGAAAGGAGGATAACCGCCCACAGCTGGCCGGTGGGTCCTGAGGGTGACACGATACCGCGCACGTCAAGTTGCTGTCCTGTGAG